GCAGGGGTTGGGGACGAGATGGACAGAGACCCTGTTGGCCAACCAGACAGCTGGAGAATCCTGGCTCTGTCCCCTAGGAGTTTCAATGGCCTTTGGCAAGTTCCCTAACCTCTCAGAGCCTCAGGTCCCTCAACCCCTAAATAAAAATATCTTGGAGGGCTGTTGTATAGCTTATACATAAAGTATCCTAGCACATAATAGGTGTCCACATCATGGTAGCTATTATTACTATTATTATTAATATATGATGAATAAATCATCAGGTAAAATCATTGCCTAATCAATGCTGGTAAAGGAGAACCCATTTAAGGGAAGGCCATCTTTAAGATGAGCAGCCCATTAACTCATGTTCTATTTCTCCATGTCAAACATGCCCAGAAATTACAAACTTGGTTAATATAATGAATTTCAGTAGAGCTTTAAAACAACAACACACCACTTGAATCTATAGCCGCTTGGAGGCTGAATCCAGTCCTATTTTCAGCACAGATGTCAGATGTTCATAGTTACCAGACCTTTAATGAGATGTGTCACTGCATCTATACCACCTAAAGCTTCCCAATGATCATGGTAAATAGTGTAGACTGGAAATCTTAGGCACTGAAAGCAGTACTTCCGAGTAGAGCTGCCAAATGTAGGTGAGAAAACCACTCCAGCCAGCATTACCATCTGGTACTGGATCTTCCTCAACTGCGTGCTTCATAAAGCTAAACTCCCTGAAAGGAAGAGGTAGGATAATCTGCCAACATCCTTGTGCCATTATCCAGATAGGAACCTGGCTCTTTCAACATTTTCCAAAATCTGAGGTGTACAATTAAGAGTTACTGCGCTGGAGATCATCTAGGTAAATACACCTGTGCAGATTCTTTCCTGGAAGCAAAGGAAGGGTAGACAATTAAGTCTGTTCATGGCCATAATTTTAAATTTTACCAAAATTAGCCTCACATCTTGCTTCAGTGTTTCTCTGTGTACTTCACCTGATAATTTGCATTTCATCTGCATATCGTAGACGGTTGCTAACGGGTTACCAGAGTGAATTATACATGATTAAAGGCCTTAATGGAGTCTTGGGAAAGTTCTTGAAAAAAAGTCTAGAAACTGATTTATTCCATCCCAGAAATTTTGAATATCTGGTACTCAAATTGACCCTGCATGAAACCTGCCCTTAATGAAATGTTTCTGATTCCAGTATTTACTTAAATTTAATATCTTGTATCTTAAGGAAACGCTAGAGGTAAAAATGCATTATCCCACAGTATTTTCCTCAAGCTGTTTTACTATTCACCTGGGCATTGTTTGAGATGAACATGACAACCACAGAGGC